AGCATACGGCAAAAGTTGTTTCGGTATAATTCCAGAAATATCTCCAAGTAAAGCTCTATAGTATGAATGAATCAATCCATTAAAAATATCTTATGATATTTAATTTGATAGACACGATAATTGTGTTAAAATTATTTTAACATTATGTGGCGGCGGCAGTGGAATCAGTTATCATAAGGATAGAGCAATGGTAATGTCATATCCAAAGTATTGGAATATATGTAAAAGCGGCTCAGTTAATGTAAATTTATCAGACTTGAATATTAGGAGGGATCACCCCCAGATGCGGTCTGTGAGAAATTTCCTACATTTATATATATATATTATAGCTTTAACTAAAATTTAAATACGAATTGTTGTTACACAGAATACCGCCGAACTCAACAAAACAAAGATGAAAAATGGGACCATAATAAATGCTTTTTCATAAAAGTAATTTGTACTAATTAACTATTTTTTGATATTATTTATATGCAATACATTAGTATTCTAAAATTATTTAAATTTGTTTATTTTACTACATGTATCCTTCGAAGTTACAAAAATTGTCTCATAAATGTAAATTATGTTTTTAATATAATTGAAAATTTTAATTAAATTAACAAAACATATAAAAATCCTATCAACTGAAAATATATAAGATATCATGCATTACTGTAAAGTAATATGATTTCATTTCACTTGAAATCAACATACTTTCTTTTAATAAATATTTATTATTAAACTCACAAGAATTAATGTATGTCAATATTTTGAGTAACAACTAGTGTTAAAATACAACATTATACACTGAAAACTTAAAAACTGTTACTTATTAAATCATTATAATAAAATTCAATCTACTAGACAATAATGAATGTAAATATATCAAAAGTGATTACATGCAACAAAAAGATTAGGAATTGATATCAGTGTACATGATAATTTGAAGATTCATTAAAATATTTTTTTGTTTAAGGTAATATAAATTATAAATAATAAATTTAAAAATATTATAATTTATCTAGGTATGATCCACTGAAATATCACGTTTTTTTTTAATATTAAGTGCAGTAAAATTTTTACTACTATAATTCTATA